GATCTTTAACCCTGCTTAATATTGAATTATTTATTTGATCCTCTATCTTAAAAATAAAACTTTTATCTGTTTTAATCCAATATTCATCATCTAGAGATTTTTCTTTTACATTCCAACAAACTGGATTATAGCCACCAACCAGTTCACCTGTATCATAATGATAACAGTTTGTTCAACATCATAACATTTATCCTCAAACACTGATCTAGAGAATCCACTAAGTATTAATTTAAATTCATAAGGTAAATTATTTATATTATATAAATCATTTTTGTAATCAACCAAGCTAGAAATTAAATATTTTATTTGTAAATTTAACAATTTTCCTGTTCTTGCTTTTGGTTGCCAATTATCAGTAGTATAGAATTGAAGAAGCTCTTTATAAACTTTTTCATCAAAAACTTTTTTATATGGTGTAATTTTTTCATTAAATCTCCAAGTTTAATTTCTTTGAATCTTATTAATGGAATAATATCCTCAAATAAAATTTTCAACATTTCAAAATCATTTTGGTTCCATTTTGATAGATCATTCTTTTCTTCCAAGTTTTCAATTTGTGCAATTCCCCACTGAATAACATAGTCCCAAGTAACAATTTCCTTTGATCTTAAATTATCTTTTTTTAATATGGATATAAGCATAGATTGTTCAATATTCTTGAAATCATCAGATTTTAAAAATAATTCTGGTTCTTCACTAAATATTTCCTCACAATAATTTTGAAGCAAGCCAAATGATTGATATTTTAATGAAGTTTCATTAAAATAAATTAAATTTTGTTTAATCCATCTTTTTCCTTTTTCTAATAAATGATTTTGTAAACCACCAATCAATTCATTAAAATCCAACTCATCACATGCTTCAAGAAGTTCTACAATTTCATAAAGGCTCAAATTTTCTATCTCAACAATTCCATTGTACATATAACTAAAATAATTTATATACTTAATACACCTTATAAAAAGGATATAAGTATATTAAAAGAATATATAAAAAAAAAGAACAAACATGAAACAACAACAAGCAAACAAAACACTAATAAATGAAATAGAATTATTGAAGAAAAAATTAGCCGAAAAAGAAGAAAACTTAAGTTAAGAACTTGAAATGCTGTTCACAGCCTTACTGAAAGTTCAGAATATACTGGAACAAGTTTAAGAATCTTAGAAAGATTTACTTGACCTAACAATGGTTGAGTAAGTTATCCAGTAAAGAATGGAATTGAAATTGGAAGAGTTGTTTTCAGTGATGAATTCACTCCTGAAAATATTGTTAAAAGTTTTGGTAGTGAAGCATTAAATTATGAAGAAGCTTTTGGTTTTACTTACCAAGAAAAAGAGGAATTAAAAGAAAAGAATGCTGTTTTAGAAGAAAAAGTTGCTGAATTAGAAGCAAAGCAAAAAGAACTGGAAATAAAAGTAGAAGAGTTGGAAGATGAAGTGGAAATGGAGCAAGAGGAAGCTGAAAAAGCATTAAACACAGCTATGAAGTGGAGAAAATGCCAAATGAATGAAGTGATACTAAAACATGATGCTGCAATGGGCAAACTCTTAGACCGAATAGATTTGTTGGAAAATAATTTGTCAGCTAAAAATCAGGAAATAAACTGAAGAGATAATTTAGCAAACAAAGAATTACCAGCTTTACCAAAACAACAAAAAGAAAATAGATTACAAAAGTTTAAACAATTAGTAAGTAAAGCAAAAGAAAAAATAAAGAGAAATTCCAAGCTTTTATCATTCAGAAAAGTAAGTAGATTAATATGAATTAGAATATAGAGTTCTGGAAATAGCAAAAGGAGATGAACAAGAGTGTAAATTCTGTTTTCTAGATATTGATGACCAAACTCTCCTTAAGTTTGATACTGCTCCTGCTACTCATCAAATAGTGGCTTGTAATACTCCTGATGGTTATTCTGACATTGTCTTTATCTGTGGTGAATGTAAAAACGATTATGATAATAATACTCTTCCATGATGTGAGAAATGTGGTAGGTTAAAAAGGAATAGAAACAGATGTTTTTGTAGTCATTTAAAAACTAAATCAACTAAACCACTTTCTGACAAAGAACTACTTTCACAAGCTTTCAGTTTTCACCTAGAAAATAAAACTAGAGAACTAGAAAAGGAGTTATCAATTACCAAAGAAGAATTAAAAATTGAAAGAGAAGAAGTAGCCAAGTTTCAGGAAAAATCTGAAGAGTGAAGTAAAAAGCAAAAACAGGAATTATTAGATAAGGTAAAGGGTTTAGAAGAAAGAATTAAACAACTAGAAGAGGAAAACAGGAAATTAAAAGATCAACAGAATGGTCAAATTGCTCAAATTGAAGTTAAAGAGACTAAAAGATGATCTTGATTGAAAATGAGAAAGTAGTTTAAAGAATATTCTGTATAAATTGAAATTCATTCCAACTATCAAAGAAAATGGTAGTTATTTTCCTTTTAAAGATTTTTGCTTTTTATTAGGTAATAATGCATCATCATGATGTTTTCTTTTTCTAACACTTATTATTTTTCTTTCTTCTTAGTAAATTTCATAGGTAATCTTTTCTTTTCTTAGATAAGTTTCCAGTGTTTGAGTGTCATTTATCTTGAAAATGTAAGGAGCAATTTTCTCACTTATTCCTTCTTCAAAATACTTCTGATAGTACTATAATTCTTGGGTTCCATGGTAGACCTAATGTAAATTAACTTCATATTAACTATTTTTATATAGAGGTAATTCTATATATCACCTAATATTAAGAGGGTAACAAATGGAAGATTTTAATAATAATCACATTACTAAATTTTGATCCCTGAAATTTTTGGTAACACCAATGTTCACTTTGTCTGGTTTTGTTGCAGCATGCCCCAAATATTAATTTAAAAGCTTCAAAACTTATTAGCCAAATTTTTCCTTAAACTAAAAATTGGCTGAGCCTTAGCATTTTTATTTTATTATACATTTAAAAATGAACAATTTTTTAAATAAAAAAAATTTCTCTAATATTTACATAATTTATCTATTTTCATCATAGCCCAGAAACTTTATTGTTAACTTGGGATAAACTTTATAACACTTTTATTGTTCAGAATTTTCTATTTTTGTTAATGCAAATTCACAGCATGATCTGCTAAATATTAATATTATGTGGAAGCATGTGTCTGGCTGGATAAAAAAAAAAATGTACTGGAATGTTAAAAGTTTTTGAATATAAAGTTAAATCATTGATTCTATGGGCAAATTTGATTAGTCAAAAAAAAAAATGCTAGAAAATTTATTTTTAATTCCTAGTTGCTCAAAAAAAAAAATTAACAGTAATGGGATATTCTAGAAAGGTCCAATATAAAAATTACAACCAAATGATATTTGTATTTCAACATCTCAAGCCCCAGTTGATAAACAAAACCAGTAACTCACTATTTATACATTAGCAAAAAAATTTTTGTTAGAATTAGTTCCCTTTTGTTTTTGTTTTTTTAACTTATTTGAAGCTTTTAGTCCACTTTACTTCATAGTGGTGACCTTATAAAGTTTTGAAAACTTTTAGTGGAACATTCATCCAAAAGCCAAATGGGATGATGCTATCTAGGTTCTTGAGGCCATGCTCATGCATAATGCCAGATCTGTGTTTTTTTTCCTAACCTTTAATATTCACAGTTTACCCTACAAGTTAGTATCAGATGTGGATTGGGATAAATATGTTGAATGTACAGACAAAAATAATGTTCATGATATTTGGGAATGGAATAATAGAAGGTCAGATCACAGAACAAAGCATCAGGAAAACATGATTGGGGTTATAAATATAATTATACATATATGATTTGCAAATGTGTAGGTTCTCATATAATTTCCATATAACAGTCAGGATTTTTTCCAAATTTGGAAATTGATTCTAGAAATTTTTGTTGATCAATTCATATTCGCTACAAATGAATTTAGAAAATACTCCCCCCCCGTTATGTTATGTTTTTTTTATAAAACTTTAAAAAATAACTGTTAAATAATATTCTTTCGGATATATAGTTTCATAATCCCCACTAATACCCAAAGCTTTACAAAGTAGTTTTTTCAGAATAAAACTTGAAATTGCGATTTTTTTTTTTTTTCATAGAATCATATGTATATAAATTATAATGACGAATACAACACTCAAATCAAAAGGTTTGCAATGCTTATGTTACCAGAATTAGATTTGGGGGTAGAGCTCTGAAACAAGTCGGGTTGACCCGAATGGGTTGGGTCGGGTCATGATTTAATTGACCCAGGTTTGACCCGGGTCAACATCATATTATAATTGCCTTTAAAAGTTCAAAATTATTTTTGAAACTAGTATAGATACTAATAAATGAATAAAAATAAATGGCAAAATAACAATTTTGACATAAAAAAAATCAATAATTGATGCAAGTGTTTATGTAAAATAAAAATAATAATAAATTACGTTATTTATGGTCATGGAAAAATTATTTGGTGATCGGTGAAAACCTTATTTTTTTATTATTTAATTATTATTGCTATTTCGTTATCATTATCATTATTATTATTATTTCATTATTATTATTACTATTGTCACCGATTAAATTCGGGAGAGTGTATTTTAATTGGTGATAATAATTATTTTTGTTTTGTGTGGATCAGAATGAATAGGGGATCAATGAATTGATTTTGTTATTAGCGAATAATTTTGGTTAAAGAAGATAAAAGTTTTAAATAAAATATTTCTATTTTATTTATTTAGTCGAAACTAATTAACTTGTAAGAAAGTTGCTTT